GCAACTTCCATGGTTCAGCGCAGAGGAAAGGGCTTCACCTAGGCTTCAAGTTAAACTGAGGTAGTGGATGGTCCTTCCCTTAGGAATCCTGCTCCTAGCACAGGCCTGATTGCCAATCCTGAAGCCATTCCTGTTTATCTAACAGGGAAGGTAATAATAACTTCCAAACTAATCTTCATAGGGGTGCTGAACGTCTGAAGTGTAAGTAAACTCTGCTTCAAACAGTTACCAGAAACTGAACATATCAGACTAGTTTGTGTACGTTTTATTCTAGTAAACTTCCTTTGTGGTGATTTGGTTCATTTAATAAAAAAAATTACAAAACTTCAAAAGGAAAACAATGAGCAAGTACATATATATATTTTTTTTTGCCTGATATGTGCTTCCACCATACAATCATTTATGTAAGGAAAAAAAACAGTAAGCATGGTGCTTTTCAAATCATTTTTATTAACAACAATATGGATTCAACTTTGTCAAGAAGTTACAATTAACATTGTAATGTACTAGCTGATGTCTTTGCAGTGTCAGTGGAAGCAGTCTTCGTGCTTCCTAAGCCTGTTACAAAACTGGCTTTTTATCTTTCAAAGAAGTAAAAAATGCTTCCAATAGCAGATGATGTTGGATATCTCTGGAATTGTTCTATGTGTGGCCACAGCTGAATGAATGGCCACATTTGCATCCGGATGAATGAACAGGAAAATATTACATGCTTCCACTGATGCTGCAGAGGACAATTCTTATTTCAAAAACCAATTAACCTTTTTAGGCAGTGACAGCACTTTGTGTGATGTTGTAATCCATTTGAATTAAGTCGATTAACACACTTGAAAAAAAATGTGAAGCAGAAATATCTGGGGCAAATTCTTTTCTGACCTGTATTTTCATTCAACCTAATGAATCCAAAAGGATTGCATGATATAAGAGTCAGGATAAAAGTTGCCCCAGAGAGGCAAGTTCATTCCTGGTATAGGTGGGTTCAGTTCCTTCAAGGTTAGTGGAACTGAGCCCGATTATCCCGATGGAGGCTGAACTTCACCCAGGTGGGCAGTGAATACATTGAAGTCAGTGAAGCCATCCAAGGATGAATTTAGCCTCTAGTGTTTAAAAACTTCTTTCGTTCCTTTGCTGTTATATTTTCTTTTCCTGCTTACTCCTCTTTTCTGATTATTCCCCTTTTCTCTGTGCTTTTTAAAAATGTCCCTTCTCTTCTTCCCTTTTTACACCAATGCTTTGTGCGTTATTTTTTATATAGTCAATGTGACATGGGTAAATTCAGCTAAGTATTAGTTTCCTCAGGAAATAACTGGAATATTACCATTTTCACTTTAAACAGATGCCCAACAAAATAAGGATTTGACTCAGCTCCTGATTCAAGAAAAATTCTTGAATTCTACAGAATGAATGAGTTACATAGAATTTTTGCTTGAGTAAGGATTGTAGGTCCCAATCCAGAAATACTACTGTATGTCAGATGTTCTACTATACATCAGCAATTCAGTATGATTTGACTTATCACAGAAGAGCAGGTGAATTGCTCATTACTGTACTATAATGAGAACAGTCACTCTAAGTAGGATTATTTTAAAAACATATGGAACAACTGTGGGCACTGTGAATAAAAGTGTATGATCTTTGCAATCTTGAACCCTAGGCTAAAACACTATCATATTTAAATAAAAAGTATAGATCATATAAGCCAGGAGCAAATACAAATTTTTAAACAAATAATAATCATCAAAACTATTCAGTTCTCTCTACAATCAGGTACAAGAAACATGCTGATCAGAAAACAGTTATTTAGATAAGGCTTAATTCCTGAAGCTCTTACTTAAGTTCAAATTCTCTCTTCAACAATCCTCAAGCGGACTGTAAATCAGAAAAAAAAATTGTCCTTTGTCCCGACTCATGAACAATTCTCATTAGCTGTCATGAGCTGGACTTTAATAAGCAGCTCAGGACAAGACTCAAAAAGCCAGACAGCTCCTTCTTTTTGTGAAACCAATGAATGACTGTCACTCATTACATTGTCCTTCAAGAGAGAGCATAGAAACAGGAAACTCCTCATGAGGAAATATGAGCAAAGCTTATAAAAATCCAAAGAAACAATTCTTCCTCTCCAGAATTTCATATATTCACTACTCTTTCTATTTTTTATCAATATTACATTAAAAAATTCCTACATGATAAGACTTGCAGCTACAAAAATAATAATGGTGAGCATAAAATAAAATAATTAGGATTTTAAACCATAATTTGAAAAGATACTATGTTCTGGATTTCTTAGTACTTTGTAAAGACATTAACATTCTCAAACATAATTTCTAGAACTCAATTTTTTTGTGCACAAAATTGTATTAAATAAATTAACTTAAAATTAGAAGGACTCAAGCATGTCATTTAAGGCAAAAATACCAAGTTTCCATGAGATAAATTATCAGCCAAACCTGTTTCTGTACGGAATCTGTACAGGCAGGGTCAGTGCTCAGTTCTCCCATTGATGCCTTCTGGGCTCAATGTGGGTACAACCATCTGCTCATGCAGATGAAGGTGGAAGAGTGGAATCCAATTCGTGATGCCTTGATTTTTCCATCTCATCAAGGAGAGGAGGGTGTCTCATCACTGACACAGTTGCCATATGCCCGATCTCTTGATCCTTAACTGAACCTAAGCACAGGTTTATGCTTAGGCCATCAGGAAGCTTCATATGAAAGGCAAGAAAGGCACCATTAACCATTAGCAAAAAGAAAGAAAAGCCTGAAAATAAACTTGTAAGTTTTAAAATTTTGGATAGGACTACAAACTTACAAATCTGTCTGGATAAACTGCGGACATTCAAATAACTGAATAGTTAAATGAAGTGAAATGTGAGAAAAACCCTATTTATTCTCACTAATTTACTGTTGTAATCAGGCTTTAGTATGAACAGACTGCACATAAAAGGAAACAGGAAAGACTGCGTGTGGTAAATTATATGGCAAATCAGTGGTGAGGAAATTGTGCTTCAAGGTGTCTTTCAGGATTTAACAGTTGAAGTTTGCTCTGGCGTAAGCCATGGAACACAGTGTACCATCCGTGGACCCCATACAGCAACACAATATATACACTCTACAGTTTGCATGTACTTTCACATAATAAGGTTATCATGTAACAGCCAAGAATACTTCTGTAAAGGAAATATGGAAGCAGAAATTACAATGATTTCGTAGTAAACAGATCAAGTCCTTCACAATACAATCTACAGCATTTAGCCATGGTTAAGACTGGAGTGATGTTTTTCATGTACATAGGAAGTTCCCAGCAGGTCTGAGCCTTGAGAAAACACTGCCCTGACTGAGCTGGCACTGGCACCCCCATACATTCGGTGTTCCTGCTGCTTAGAGGGAAGCTGAGCCCAAGTCAGATTGTCTACAAGCCTGTGGTGCATGTGGGGTAGAAATGTGGGGGCACGCAATGCACAGAAACCTTGTTCAGCTGGGAAGAGTGAAAGCCTGTTCAGGCTCCACAAGGGTTCTTCCAGGGGCGAAGCCTTGCTGGGGATGTGCAGAGAGGCACCAGCACTGCTCCTGCATCTCGGTAGAGGTGAAGTGTAGGTTAGGATAAGAAAAAAAGAGGATGTATCTAATGCTCGGTCTGATGTAGGCTTTGAATTTGAAAACTCAGATATCAGGAGGAAGGAGTCTGAAGGTCCTTTCTTGGAAAGTTTCCAAGAAATTACTGCAGTTGGGACACAGTGTTGATCTACAGGAGTGTGACCACTTTCCCCTCTCTCCTCCTCGCCTTTTATTTGAAAAGCAAACAAACAAAACCAAACAAATAAAAACCCTCTTGCCTTCAGTTTTTTTTTTTCAGTTAAGGTGGTCTTCCCTACTTCTGTTTCCACTTCTGATTGCCTACATGGCTTTTTTTTTTTTTTTTTTTTTTTTTTTTTAATAGCACTCAGTATCTGTGACTGACAGACTGTATTTAAAAAAAAAAAAGAAATCTTTTTGCCTCTTTAACTTCCTTCTTTTATTTTCTGGGATAATTTCCCTTCCTGCATATCTAAATCCATATTCTGTTTTTTCTTCATTGATTGTGTTGTCTTTCTGTCTTCCCTGTTCTATCCTCTTTAGTTTTACTCTGTATTTCAGTTCCTCATTTTCCCTCCTTTCCCAGCCTTATGAAGTGTTGTTGTGATATCAGGTTGGGACTGCGAGGAAAATTGCCAAAATTTCCCCAGGAAATACTGCTTCTACAGTAAAGGCAGCGCCTGGTTCCTTCCCCCACCCACTGCTGCCAAAATGTTTCAGATTCACAAGATAGCTCCTCAGTGAGACTGGAAGAAGGAGAGATTCCCCTAAATTTTTAGTGCAGTCACCCAGGTTATCCATTTCTGAGGCCAGCCCCAATCCTTAAACTACAAACTTTTTGTAGCAAAATAATGTTCTTGTTATAAAGAACAATGTGATAGTGGTATGTCAGGTACTTTTGCCACAGCACTAAATCACCAAAAATCGGATGGATATTAACATACTGTTTTTCAGAGTTAAAAATAACTGATTACTGATGAGCTAATGTGTGTATCTTGCAACTGGCAGCCATTTCTAAACCCATTTTACTGGTTTCCTTGGTACCTTGCTAGCAGCTGTAGATAATTTTTTTGTTGTAAACATAAACTATCATCTAAATCAGGACATTATATATATATATACACTTAATTAGTTCAGAAGCAAAGTGCTTTAAACCTTACAATTTTTACTTCTGCCTTGTAGAAACGGCACTAGGTCCAAATGTTAAAATTTTGGCTTTGTGATACATCCTGCAGCATTAGCTTTGTAGGCAACTCATTATTTAAACCTACTGTACTACGTAAAGGCTGCTGTACTGTAGGTGTAAATTTGAATGTTAGCCATCACTTAAACATGCATTTTCATGCAACTAGGAGATATGGGCTCATTCAGCTGCTTCTCAGATTCATCCTGGTTTTGTGATTTTATCTTACGAAAAAGGCTTTCAAAACAGTTCATGCTATGATATGTATGACTAGAGGAATGACCCAGCCAATGAAGAAAGCCCACAAGCTGTTATTTCAGTTTGACGTGGAGCAGATTGAGTGCTTCTGTACCGTCCTCTGGCTTGCAAAGGCTTTGAGATGATCTTGATATTCCAGTCCTTAGAGAGTCAGCAGAGAGAGTTGCTTCCACTAATGGGCGTGAGATGACTTCAGTAGTCTCTGTTCCCGCCCCTGTCTCCAACTCTTCATCAGTTATAAATAATTTTGACTCCCTCCATTTGGAGTATATATCTTGGCTACCTCTGGAACCACTGGAGTCACTGCCAGCAATCTGTACATTCAGTTCTTCTGTTGATTGTATAAGGTTTTGTACAGATAAAGATTTTCCTAAATCCATTTGTACCACAGGTTTAACAGAGAGAAAAGGTTCCCCCTCTGTATCCAGACATTTTCTCCATGTGAGATCCTTTGTCGCACTGGGCTGTGCAACTTGTCCATTATCCTTTGATGCAACAAGGCAAGCAGTGACATCAGAAATATTTTCCTGTGTGGTTACAGGAATAATATGAATGGGCTCAGGCTTATTGATATGCTTCATTGATGAGAAAGGTGGTATTTGTAATGTTGTTGGAGTTGCTGGCTTGGTTGCCTGGTTTATTTGGTTTGATGTATTATTAAAAGTTGCAGGTCCATCGTTTGGCACTTGCGTCGCTTGACTATGCATAGCTGGACTGAAAGCATAGTAAGCCTGAGTGCTAAATTCATTTGGTGTCAGTATAAGCTGTAGGCCACGAGGCAGATTGGCACTAGCTGATCTGGATACACATCCACTGATTTGTGCAGAATTAGACAAATCTTTGCTGTCTGATGGACTCTGGTAATCAGAAGTCTGCTCACACTCAAAAGCTGGCATTTGAAAGGAAGCCAAAGTGAGTGCAGATGTAGATCCTTTTCGCAAAACTTGTTGATAAATATCTAATAGACAGTCCAGTTTTGACTCAATGGATTGTACCTACAGGAGGAGAGGAAAAGGTTAACATTAATGCCAAATACTAATTTAAAGTATTTGGAACCCAAGCAAAGGCAATATGTGACTGCTGAAGAGAAAAATGGGAGGAGCTTGGTATATGCTATTGACCCTTGAAAAATAATGTCAAAAGCCATGTAGATTTTTTACAAACAAGCTGATAAAAGGGAAAAAAAATTAGTAATGTGCAATTTTTCCTTCCTTACTTTTCTGTACATGGAAGGAAGTTAAGGTAATACAGAAAATCACAGAGTGGTTTGGGTTGGAAGGGACCTTAGATATCATCTAGTTCCAACCCCCTGCCATGGGCAGGGACACCTCCCCACAGCC